ATTTATTTAGATGGACGACGTTTCGGACACCGCCTTGTCCATTTTCAAGTCCATAGAGTTGATGCTGTTCAATAAAACATTTCAATAGTAATCTATCAAGTTATCATTAAAAACTTCATTGTTCATTGTATTATTTAAAATGTTAATACAATTTATTATCACTGTGAAAATATCCCTTATTGAAAAAATAAATAGAAACAGAAGTTGAATAGTATTCAAATTTACTAAATATTGTATAATTAGTTTTATTTCTAACTATGATGCTGGTGCGAATAAATCGTATAGAATATTAATCAGTGAAAAAATTACAAAATAGTAAGAAAAGAAAATAAGAACAATTCTTATTTTCTTGGTAGTTGTGACAAACCAAAGAAAAGAAAATTATTTTAAAACTTAATACATGTTTTAAACCAACATGCTTACAAATTATAATAAGTTGATCTTTGATAATAATGGTTAGATTTCTATAACTGTTTTTTTTTTTTTTTTAGATAATTTAGTAATCTTTTAAATAACCATGGGTTTAATGCAGAAAAAAATATATATTTTTGGTGTTATTCGCAAAGTTCTTTTCCTTCATACCTTTTTTTTCATAAAACTTTTTTTTGAGGAGGAGATGTGACTATTTTTCCGACCTGAAGGAGAAGAAAATCTTTAAAAAGATTGTTCAGTTATAGCATTTCATGAAGAATTAATGAAGATATGGTATGCCGAGAAAAAATTATCTTTGAGAAATAGTTTTTTCATTTGTTTAATAAGAGATACTGAATTTGTAATAATAAATGTATTTGAATGTTAACTTTAATTGTGAATAAGTCAACAATGGAAAAGGTTTTAGCAATGTTAATTCAATTGCTGATTTAATAACTTCTTGCAAATACTGGAGTTGTGGACAGAGTAGCATCCGAAATATGGTTCTTGTGATACATAAATAATAGTTACGAAGTCTGAAGGGTGTAATCTATATACCTTAAATTCCACATTTTAATATATTTTAACATCCTTCCAAAAAATATTAAATCATGTACACTATAAATGTATTACCTCGTTCTAATTTCCAAGTGAATGAGGAAGTCCAAGAATCTCTTATTAACGAAGCGGAGCTTTTTAACAGGAGAAAATCAAGCATTGGAAACCATATGTAGATGAATCATAATACATGTTTCGAAATTTAAGGCAATCAAAGATTTCACCCTAAGCTGAAACTTATTGGTCAAATAGGTATTTATGATTAACACAATTTTACTTTCTTAATTGCAATATATTTTTAATTAATCATATTCCATTAAATAAACAAACAGGTATTGGTTAAATAAACAAAATAACTTCTTTTGATGCGTTTGTAGATTTGTTAAAATATTTATTTTTGATTGAAAATCTCACAAAACATAAGAATAGTAAGTTCTAGAAGATGTTGGTCCTACAGTGGAACGCTAGAAGTCAATAGTAGCCCATACTTTAACCTATAATTTTATGCAATACTTAAAAACCAATCAGATTTGTTTTAAATATTTATTGAAATATCAATTGAGGTCATTAAAATCTCAACAGACATCACCCAAATATTAGAATCATAATCAACTATGAGAATCAGAGTTTAGATAATTAGATTAGATTAGGCACTTTTAAGTAATAGAGAAAAAGGATATATGCACTGTGGAAATCAGCCGGAGGAATTATCAGAGAGAAAGCATGCAAGAATTTGTTGCAGTTATATTGACACAAGGTTTTCCACTAAAAAATATTTATCGCAACTACTTAATTAACGATAAATATGAAATGTACTTTTAAATTAAGCCTTTACTACTTCTTTAAAAGACGTTTTCATTACTTTTTTTCTCAAATGTTCCAATTTAAGGACAACAGATAAAAGACATTAACTTATTCATGTTCATACCGTATATACATGGTACCTGTAATTCTATAATTTCTAAAGTAAATTATTGAAATAAAAGCAAAAAAAGTTGAAAAAAAAAACCACTAAAAAATTAATTATTTCATATTCTTGGCCTTTCTCACAATATTTTATTTTTGTTCTCAGCTATTATTATTTCATGAAGAGATCGACAAAGCATCCAAAAAAAAAAATCAAATAAAAAAATGACTAGTGTTTTTTATCAAACTTGTGGAAGAGAAAAAAATACAGAAAAAACAAAACAAATGTAAGTAAAATAACTGATAAGTGATAAATATTCATAGATGTGTTTGTAATACATTTAAATATATTCAAAAGAATACAAATCAAAAATACAAAGCGACCTAGGACAACTATCAGGCGAAGTCTCTGCACAAAGAAAAACCAAAAGCCGAATATACTCAACAATTATTTACAGCGAAAATAAAAGTTTTATCTCCACTATAATGTACTTGTACATGTATTTATACTATATTATTCTAATATTAAGTATTACAAAGGAAAAATATTGAAGAAATTAGCATAAAAGAAAAAAAACAAATAATAGGAAATACATAGGAAGCACATATATAATATTTTGAACATACCGTTTATTGGTTGCATTTTCAAAATATTGTCATTCTTAATTTGACAGTCTGAATCAGAATGGGGGAAATAAAAGAAATTACAATCGTGGAGGGTGGCCAAGCAAACACATTCATGTCGCGGTGCCGAGGGAGGCTTTCAACTTTATATAACAGCATTAATAGCCCCGCCTTCTCTCCTGACCCAGGAAAATACCCATATTGCCTAAAATGTGGGAAATGGGTGGAAAAAAATTCCATAAGTTAATAAGTTAAAAAAATTATTTTTAAAAGATGAAATTGTTTTTAAAAATGACAATTACATAGGAGTTTCCTTAAACTAACCAAATTATACACGAATACGGTATAAGAATGTGTAGCTATGTATGTGGTGCGAAATAGAAAAGTTATTCAGCAACGTTACCAGAAAAAAATAAATAAATAGTAAGAACTTTGAATGTAATTAAATTTTACTCTTATAACATTTCATAAAATGAATTAAATGGTATTTAAAAAAATTAACTAGGCAAGCTTTTAAGGAATTAAAAATTATTAATGAAAAGGATAAATTGGCAGTTAGGCCAGTTCGTAAGACTGATTAAGATATTATGTTAAAAATGTTTATACAATAATTATTATTTATTTTAATTAATCGATTGCACTTCCAATTAATTAATGTTTTTAATAAACTATACACGTACTTAATATTATGAGTGCGTTTGATTTTAGTTGATTCAATTTGTTTAGCACATTTATACTGGATATTCTCAGCTATAGAAAGGCTGTATATTTTTGCCCTTTTTAGAAGTCAAAGCAGAGCTTTCTTTCTTCTCAGTCTAATGACCCTTTTCTTCTTATTTCTTCCCTTTTCTTTCAATTCTCTTGCTACTGGAGTCAAGAACATTATTATTTTGTTTTATGTTTTCATCATAGTTTCGTTAATTTTTACGTCTGCGACTGAAAATAGACAATGTCATGGTCTTAGCATTACGTAACTTTTATTTAAAGTCAAAAAGGATATTAAGAAATATTTGTCAATTGGATTTCAGAACTAAGAAAATGTTATTTTTTTCTGGCATGAGAAATTAAATATTCACATATCAATGTAATACAAATCTGCAATTAATTTTCTCTATTGATTAGTTATAATTACTATATTAAAATTATACTACATCAATACCTCACTATTAACCATGCAATATTTTGATGTGGAAAAAAAAAACGAAATCATACTAAAATTAATGAGTTAATAAAATATAAATTATGTTTCCTTTTAAATATAACCGCTTTCCAGCTTAATTATTAAGTCTATCTTGCTACAAGCTACAATGCAGCTTAAATAAATATAAGAGGCGATATCTCATTAAAAATGTAACAGGAAATATTTCAGTTCAAGCAAGGCAAAGAAAGCAGAGGAAATAATTTTATTTTTATGACTATTGTTGTGATCTTGAATAAAAGAAAAAGGAAAAAAAAAAAGAAAAAAAGGAAAAGCCGGTCCAAAGAGCTTTCCATAGAAGTGCATGTATTTTATCTAAGAAATTGAGAGACCGAGGGAAAACAAGACAAAATTGTTCCAAGAAAGTCAACGCTGCCCAAGACATTGGGAGCTGTCAGAAACAGCAAACATGCTGGGGCATGTTCAATAATCTAAGAGAAGGAATGTTAAAAAAAATGTAATTTTTAAATATAATGAATGGTATTATATAAAAAATCATTGCGTTCTGCTAAAAATATTTGATAATATTATTAGAAAATTTGGAATTTTGAATTACAATATTTATGTATTGAAGATATATCTGCCTAGTTAGCTATTGATGGAATCAAGTTGATTATCTTGGGTCATGAATAATACAAACAGTAAATGCACCTATGTGTAAATGCTTAGTGTGTATTATAGCCTATGTTATAGGTCTTCATAAGGGATTAGAAAAACGATCTAATGCCAAAATATGAAACAAGTATAGATCCAAATATAAACATTAAATAGAGATCCTTTGTAAAACTAAGAATGTGAATTTGAAATATTAATAAATAATACTACGTGAATGTGATGAATAGTAGAATAAGAGAACAAGTGAGGGGTTTTTGACTATTGTAAATTCAACTTCGATAATTCTTGCGACGACTTAAGATATAAAAAAAAAAAAGTACAATTTCTCTCTAATGAAATTATAAATTTCACACAAAAATCTATACTAACCAAAAGCAATCAACAATAAATTCTGTTTTCTAATTCATCCCAATTATGTTCACTAATCGTTCAACAGATTATAAATCCAATAATGATCATAATGTTTTATTCTTGAAAACACCTGATTTTCATATCCTCGTTTCTTCTATCAAATATTGTTGATGTGCGTTTCATTACCCATAACGTCTATTCTGCATTTGAAATAATTTTCTTTGAATTACTATTTTGTATATAAGATTTTAGTAAAAGTATAAATACTGATCAATAATATAATATAATATAATCGAAAATAAGATAAAAAAAAAAAAAATAAGATGATAAGATGATATTTGCCGGGAAACACAATAGGAGGGGGAGATAGTAAAAGTTCTACTCATGAACAGCTGTTATAACCATGTTTCATTCGTGTCGGTAGCTTCTTATTCTTTGCTACAATTGTCGAACTAGAGCTCGAATTAGTGGTGGATGAACATGAGCTGTTGCATAGTCTTTGGAGATTACAGGATCGAACAACTATTTAATTTACCAAATTGAAGAAGAACAAGGAGCCGAACACATGTGGAACCACATCGATATAACTGACAAGCAACCGTCCTATGGAACTTTCGATGAGGTGTATGAAAACGAAAACAATAAAGGTAATCTTTTAATAGACTGTATGACTGTAGCCTTTTTTTTTTTCATATTAACACATTAAATTTTCTGAAAAAGTTTTAATTCGATGATACGATTAGATTTCGTTATTACACCGTATTTACCAATATCTTAAAAAAAACCCTGATTATACGTGTAACTTAAACAACGAAAAGGAATTGTATCGATTCCATTTATAATTATTAGAGACAATGAAAGTTTTAACTAAAATTAGGGCTAAGTTAACAACTTATAGAATAACACATCCTTCCAACGTTAGTTGAAGCAAACCTCATATTAACATGAAAGCATCCATCCACTCAGTAATTCATAAGATTTGTTTAGTTTTTATTAAATTATGTCGCCGAAGAATAAAGATAAAAATTGAAAACAATTCAAATATTAAGATTGACGTGACATCGATGGAAATTAGTTTTGAAATAGGAAGACATAAGCCATAAATTAAATATGACTCGTGTTTCACTTAGGAGAAAATAAAATACTTATTTGCTCACACCTGCATTAACCTGACGAATTCTAGAACAAGGAATGTATTGTAAATCAATAATATTAATTATCCAATAAAAAAAATATAAAAAAACAGTAGTAAGAGGAGAAAAATAATTACAGAATTTCATAAATTAGTTTTAGAAAAAGTAGTTTTTATCTTTGTAATTAAAACTAAAAATACCTAAAGCTTCTTATGATAATAATAATAAAAGAATAAACAACATCAATATGACGTCAGAAGTCATTCCATAATAGAATTTACAGAATAGATAACGATTGTTATGATTAGACTTCGCTGGATCCTGATAGCGTGTTATCATGGCCTTGGGAACGACAGTAATTTCCCCGACGAATATGCTAATTTAATTAAATAAGAACAACAATTGCATCATTATGTGATGAGCCTGGCGTAATGGGTCTAACGTTCATTATGTAAGGTGGGTAATAGGAGTATTAAAAAATATCAGCCAGACTTACAATACAGAAAATGCTCAGGAACGTAGGTGGGGATACTTAGAATTCGAAATCTTTCGGTAGCTAGTAATATTCTAATGAAATGTATATGTTGATTTTTGGGATTAAGATTATATTTGCTTTTACAATGTGGTAAAGATTATCCTACAATTGATTTGGAGCAAATGGTAAGACATATTTTGGGAGAAGCTTATGAGAATCATGTTTATAATTGAAGAGATGCTTACCTGAAGAAGCAATCCTTAATACAGCACTTGGACAAGCACTAAAAAACAATTGTACACGAGCACAAACACAATGGCGTGATATAAATTCACACTCATTTCACAAAAAACACTGATGATGAATCATTTCTTCTTTCTTCTCGTGTAGCAGTGATCCCCACTCTGTCCAATCGCACCTCCACCTAACGCACTGACGGCGGTACAACAATAACCCAACTGAGGACAAGAATGACTCCCGGAGGCCGGCTAGCAGCAGCGACATCTGTTGGTAATCTTCCTCGCTAGCACACCTGGCTGACCCCAAACCGATCCTGCACTGGGTTACTGGCCTCTTGCGTTCCACTTTCTAAATCCTATCAATTAACTTCTTTATTACAAGGACTGAATCGTATCCAAACATGGATTTAGGTCTAGGATGTTGATAAACATGTAATCATACACCCTTTAACAAGAAAGTTTCAATCTATAATAAAGTACAACCTTCATCTCAGGAACTAATTATTATTTATATCATTTTTGGTCGAAGATCACTAAAAGATTAATTTTCTTTAATATCATTTTATTATTGCCGACGTTTTGGCTTCATGAGCCATTTTCAAGCATAAAATACCGCGTGTTTCTTCTAGAATCATATCATTTTGAAAGAAATATCGTCAATTTAAAATATGATCAATATTCAGTCTATTTCGTTGATATGTCTGGATTAATTAAGAGCCAAATAAAACCGGACACGAGGACTCAACGACCCCGTAATATCAACAAAATTTCCTGAATATTGGCCACGCGTTACTAGGACGATTTTTGTTTAAAAAAGACAAAAGTATAGAGAATATAGTTCTTAATTAAAAATGTCATATGAAGCCAAAATGCTGGCAATAATAAATTAAACAAATTTCTAGATGATCTTCGGGCAAAAATCATTCAAATATCAAATAATACTGTTCCTGCAAACAATAAAAAGTATATCTCATTACTATCTTGTAATTAATAATTGTATTACATTTAGTGACAAAAATGTGATTTATTTTATTTTAGGATATAAAATAGTTTTAATATTTATAAGAATATATTCATTAATTATATTTTCGTATCTCTTGTGTTATATCAAATAATAAGTTGGTAAATACCTAACCATATACAATGCGTAATATAATGCGGAACTCAATAATATAGTTTACGATATTTACAGAGGTATAAACAAACATGCTTAGTGCTTGCAAAATTAATACCCTATGTTGTAGCAGTTGTGTTTTTAAAAGTAATATTCCTCAGAAGTATTGTTCTAATTCAACCTGATATCAGCCGTTACAATTTCAATCAAGAAATAGAATAATCTCTGAATGTCTTATATTATATCAGAATCCTACAGTTCTGTTCTATATTTCCATATTCTTATTAGTATACAAATTTATTCATCTAATGTTCTAATGCATTATGTAAATATAAATGTTTGTATGCTTTCTGTGAACACATTCACGTTCATATATAGCCTTAGAGTACAACGTAGAAACTAAAAAGATCTAATAACAAACTAAAATAAAGAATACAAAGAAAGAACTGCTGTCATGAGGAACTTATACATTTTTTGTAGGAAATTGGCTGTTTCTAATTAATAAAATATTAATGACCACCTTTTGTCCTCTCCTCCCCCACCCCAAAAAATAGTAGGGAATATAAGCTGAAGAATAATATTTTACCATAACTAAATTTATCTGAGCGCAAAGAACTTTTGGCTCAAAATATATAAATTAATAAATTAACGAAGATCATTATCATATCCTTCAAGAGAAGAGTTCGAAAGTAAGCAAGTAATTAAAAAGAAAAATAGTACGTGCGATTAATAAGTGTAAGTTTAATATTACGAACTTTATTCAAAATATCTGAAACAAAACTAGTTAAGAAAAAGTTAATATTGTATATTAGATGCTCAAAATTTCCCGTGAAATTCATTTTTGCAACAAAAAGTTACACCTACAATAAATATCAATAGAAAAACAATTTACGGACATAAGTAGTTTAAATGGGGGGGGGGCGGATCGGGAAAATTCGAGAGCTCTCGGCTATTTCCAATTATTCCGTCTCTGACTAGACCTCATTTCCAAGGGTGTCCATTCTCCACCAAGTCAATGGCGCAAAAACATACCCCTTCCAATCCCAAGATATTTTATTACTGATTTTCTTAAATACAGAGTAAGGGAAGTAGAATTTAAAAAATCATAGATCACATACAATTACACTTGCTGTGGTCTGTTCCATGTTTTCTCCTTGTCCCTAATTCTGAAATTTTTCATTCCGAAAATTGATAACACCTTTGAAATGTGCCTCCCTCAAAAAATAAAAAAAACCTTTAAAATATGCTCTCGTCAAAAATTTCGATGACGCACCTTGCGCCATTAAATCTTCTATGCACCCCAGCTCATTTCTGCTTTACTTAATTATCAAATTCGTTCATATTTATCCATAATTTATAACTAGTGCCAATGTTAAATGGTTAACTGTTTTAAATGAACAAGGCTAAAGGTACTTTCGAGGAAGGAATTTTGAAAATTTGGTATTTAAATCCTGTTAGACTATTCAAATGAAAATAATACCCGTCTTATATTAAATTCCTCTTGATATAACAAGTTTCATAAAAATTGTTTGAGCCGTTTTTGAGGAAATTCTAAAAATGTTTATATTCACATTTACCAGTTTGTGTGACGTAGTTATTTGTACTCAGGAACTCTCAGAACGTGCACGTCCATTGAAAAATCAAATTCGAAACTTTTTTCGATCGCAATACTTTCCATTTTATATATTTTGTATAGGTTAGTGGATGTGAAGATATTAATAATTGTGAAAAAAAAAACTACAGAAATAAAGAAATATTAACAATTTGAAAAAAATAAAATAAGTTTCTTTCAAAAATTGTTATATGTGGACACATTTTTTGAGCACTCCATTACAGAGCTGGAACAAGGTTATTTGCTGGGACAGCTTAATTTTGTCGCCCTTCTTTCATCTCTCGTCATCACCGAATGTCACTATTTTCATCAATATTTTAGATAACATTATTCCGAATGAACGCCATCATCAGATATTATTAACTCATGCCACTTAATTACTTAAGATTTTTAAAAAGTAGAAAAATTGTTTACTTAAGCTAAAAAAAAAAAATATCGTTCGCTGAATTCCACCTTCCGGAACAACCAAATATTAAAAAAAAGTAAGATGTGTTCTTTAGACTACACGATAGAACTGAAAACACCGATAAGGCGATATTAACAATATGAAATATAAATTATAAATAATAGCTCATTATAAAAAGGATGAAATGCTGAACATTTCTCTCGCTTGCAGTATGTAGGTCCGATATTTGGTTCCTGAAATATTTTAATCCAATAAAACTCGTTATCATTTAGTTTTCGACACCATTTTTTTTTTCCTTTTCTTCTTCCTAACACGGTGTCGTTACATAGAGGATAAAATGATGAACATTTGCCACGCTAACAATAGCAGATCCGAGTTTTAGTTTTGAGATGTTTTAATCCTTTATTAAGCAAAAACACTAGTCGACTTTACCCAAGCGTTACACATCGGAGATCTGACTGCTCAATCTAGTTCATTCTCCACAAAAATAAAAAGACAAAACGCGCCTAAAGAAATTTTTTTCTTAAAAAAAAATGCAGATAATGTGATCAACGTTGCCAAAATTCTTAAGTTTGGTGTATTCTTTGAGTATCTACAATATCTATACAATAAATGAGGGTTCATTAACATGACGAAATTAATATGTTACAAATAAAAGTTAGGTAACA